CGGCTCCCAGGCCCCAGGATGCGCTGAGCCGCCGCCGGGGGGGCTGAGGCCGCGCCAACTACATGCATGTCCCCCGGGGGCAAGTTCGACTTTGACGACGGGGGCTGCTACGTGGGGGGCTGGGAGGCGGGGCGGGCCCATGGCTACGGCGTGTGCACGGGGCCCGGCGCCCAGGGCGAGTACAGTGGCTGCTGGGCGCACGGCTTCGAATCCCTGGGCGTCTTCACGGGGCCCGGCGGACACAGCTACCAGGGCCACTGGCAGCAGGGCAAGCGCGAAGGGCTGGGCGTGGAGCGCAAGAGCCGCTGGACGTACCGCGGCGAGTGGCTGGGCGGGCTGAAGGGGCGCAGCGGCGTGTGGGAGAGCGCGTCGGGCCTGCGCTACGCCGGGCTCTGGAAGGACGGCTTCCAGGACAGCTATGGCACCGAGACCTACTCCGACGGAGGTGCGAACCCGGCCCGCTGCCTGGCTGCGCGCCCGCGGGCGCCTGCGGGCTGGCCTGGCGCGCGGGTACTTTCCGCATCGAGGCACCCCGCGCCCACGTCCGGCCCCCACCCCACGCACGCTTTTATTTGTCTGCCCCCAGGCTGCCTGCCCCACCCCTTTGCTGTCTGCCTGCCCTCCATACCCCCACCCACCCACCCTCAGCGTGCCCAGCCGTCCCCTCTGGGTCTGCCTACCACCCCCCCACTACCCCGCACCTCCACTCCACCTGTCACCCTCACACATAGTCCTGCTTGCCTGTCGCCTATCCCAAACACCTCTGGTTGATGTCCCTCTCCTGTCCCCTCACTTTTTCGGTAAGCCAGTCTCTCTCTCTCTCTCTCTCTCTCTCTCTCTCTCTCTCTCTCTCTCTCTCTCTCTCTCTCCTGTTTGCTCACCCATCTGCCTATTCCACCGCTCTCCTGGCCACCTGCCCTGCCCTGCCCCCTGCCTACCTATCCACCTTGTCACAAGCCAGGACCTCCTGTTGCCTGCCTGCCACCTGTGCTTCCCCGCCTGGCCACCCAGCCCGGCCTATAACAAGCTTCTAGCCGCCTTCCCTACCTCCCTGCCAGCGGGCCTACCTCTGGCTGTCAGGGGTACTTGGGGCCTGGGGCTCAAGTAAGGGTGGGTGCTGACCCTTTCTCCCGCCTCCACCCCGCCCGCAGGCACCTACCAAGGCCAGTGGCAGTCCGGGAAGCGCCACGGTTACGGGGTGCGCCAGAGCGTGCCCTACCACCAGGCAGCACTGCTGCGCTCGCCCCGCCGCACCTCACTGGACTCAGGCCACAGCGACCCCCCGACGCCGCCCCCGCCCCTGCCCCTGCCGGGCGACGAGGGAGGCAGCCCGGCCTCGGGCTCCCGGGGTGGCTTCGTGCTGGCTGGGCCTGGGGACGCCGACGGCGCGGCCTCCCGAAAGCGCACCCCGGCGGCTGGTGGCTTCTTCCGTCGCTCATTGCTGCTCAGCGGGCTCCGGGCCGGCGGGCGCCGCAGCTCCC